AATGAAACAGTAATATTAACAACTTACTTTTGCAAAGGTGTCAATATACTGGAGTAGGTCATCATCTAGTTGCGGTAATTCTTGCATAAACTCTGCTTCGCGGATCTCTCGTAGCTCGCCCATAGTGAATCCGGATTGCACAAATTTGTCCTCGGGGTCAATAATAAAAGAATTTACGAGACTGAAACATAAACGACATATTGAAGTTTAAGTAGACATCCTTAGTTTTCCATCACAGTGCATCATTCTCTTACCTGTGATAGTTGCATTCTCCCCCCAGATTGTACAAAACGTCTTCAACGTAACGCCCCGTACCAAGCTTCCATTTTCTATCGTCCTTCATGGCTTGATATCTATATTTATTTAGATAACAGTTAGATTGCTTCTGTAATTTCAAGGCTTGTGCGAGAATAAAATGATACTTGCCGATTCGTAAATACGTTTAGATCATCAGCTCCGAAAGTAAGTTCGTTATCACTATTATTCGAATAAGCAGCCGATGTCATAGTAATCTCTTCAATTTTAATTTCCTCATCCATGATAGAATTGAGAATAACGGATGACGTATCCTCTTTCTTCGATGCCAAAAGGAATGAGATGAAGCGTTGATACAATTTTTACTGATACAAGTAGTCTGAACTTTGATAGTAAAAACATTACTATATCATGTTATACCTTATTTTCCCCGTTCTGGTTAGTTGTGTTTTTCAAATCTCTTCCAGGTTCAAGTACATAAAACGGGTTATTACCAGCGTCTATGATAATCTCCCCCTCATTCCGCTTCCGTTTCAAGGCTAATATATTCACGTCAAGAGAAAATTTAAAAAATAGGATGTAGAATGTAATGACGGACGAGTTAGATGTATTACCAGACTGCATAGTATGCCGTGTAGCGTTACAAAGTGCTTCGCTAAAGTCAATTTGTAGGTTCAACACGTGTTGGAGTATGTTTTTTGAATTTGTGTCTGATGCCTCTTTTAACATTTCCATAAGAGTAGAGTATCCTCTATAACCGCATGCACACACGTATGCATGCATGTAATTATAATAATTACAAATACAGATATGCACTTGATTGAATATAATAATAAATTGTGCACATTACAATAACATGTCGTCTTCATTTATTTAAGCTAATATGATACAGTAAGTGCTATAAATTTCGCTGAAAGTTTGCTAATAACGCAGATAAACGTTGGTTGGCTCACAGAAGAAATGAAAGAAATTGTGGATGAAAGAAGAGAGTGATTGAAACATGAACGATGAGGCAGAGTTGAGAGTTGACTTGTCTCTAATGTTGACCAAATAGATACGAATAAAATTTAAATCAAGTAAATTCGAAAGACTATTAACTAAAGAAGAAATATTGTAGCTCAACTACTTATTGAAGTGGGATTGATACAGTAAGTATGTTGATACCCAATCTGTCGGCTTAAAGAAAATTATATTTCACGCTTGTTGTTATCTGTCCCTATTGGCAAACCATTAGCTCTTTTTATTTTTGTGCTAGATAACAAGCGCCCTTTGTTTTCGATTTATTACATCTGTAAATACCCAGCCGTCAAAGCTCATCTGCTTTCCGCAATCGATGCTACGCTTTCCTCCAAAGGCCACAGCATTTCTTATAATTCTATTATCACGCCCTTTCCATACACTAGTGCGGTCATGAAAATAAAAGAGGCCGTCCGTGTGCTTACTGTAGCTCCATTAGTGATTCAACATGCTTCTGAAGATAATGAAGTTGCTGGGTACGTGTGGCGGTACGCTGATTGGAGTAAACTATGGAGTCATCCACAAGCGCACGGCGTATTAGTATTGGAAAGATCCTGAAGCGTTCAGAGCTGGGCGGTTTTTCGACGAATGCGCGGATGAAATGAAGCTAAAAACGTTTCTACCTTTTGGTGGGACGGTGAGGCCTTGTCCAAGTACTGTAGAATTGTTGCGGAAAAAGTCAAGACTTTTCTGATCTTGTTGTTTTGGAATTTTGGGGTAGAGGTGTGTAAGCCAGATAATGAGATTAGGTATACGTATTCAATGACTAACCAATGTACAGAATTAAAGCTTTATTTAAGAGCTAGAAATAAAGGAAATAGACAAGAAGGGTCTTCTATTTATTTTTCTGTGATTTTTAACATAAATACTTTGCTTCTCATTGACTGTTAGTATGTCAAAGTTGATTGATACAATAGAACGGTTTTCCTGACATATAGTGACAGCTTGACCAGTGCAAAATGGTTGACCCAAACTACGATAAAATTTAATGCATCTTATGTTACGGCGAGCTGATCGGCTGACGTCGATAGTAAGTCACATGGTAAAATCTTCCTCCGCAGTAATCAAACAATAC